TTGACTTTGGACATGTTTCCTGTAGGCAGAACTTAGAAGTATCTGCTTTTGTGGGCCAAGCTCAGGGGAAAGGACACAGCACTGACCTTGAGAGGCACGGGTTTGGGCTGGGCATGGAACTAGAAACTCTGGATCCCTCTACCCTCCAAACTTCTCCCATGTAAAATATAGGATGCTGAGTTAAGTTTGAATTTCAGATGATCTCAGCTAGTAAGTAAATTCACTTTATTTGCTAATTGCAGCCACCCTTTTGGCCTTGTCTCTTCATATGCAAAATATGGAGAGTAAGGCCTTCTAGTCCTGCTTAAAACCTAGTGTATACATTTTATTTTATATGGAAATCCTCTTTAGGTAACCTGTCTAAAGTCATGCTCAAGTATTACAGCCAATATTCTGATTCCAGAGTCCCAACTTCCATACTGCCTCAGTCAAGATGCCATCAATAGCTAAGAACTCCTAATGGATAGTCAATAGTAATGTAAAGATTACATTAAAAATATAAATATCAACACAGTTGTCACATCCTAATTTTTTATTAGTATACATCAGGAAGCGTAGTATGTACATCAGCCCTTAGATGTATATTTAAGGCTGAGGATAAACTCCGGGAAGTAAGAATTTCTTAGAATTTTCCTAATCTGCTTTTTAAGGCATTAATTCAAACACATTCCAGAACATCTGAACTTTGAAATCTTTCACTCTTTCAAAGGGGACTCCAGACAAATTAAGAATGCATGAAAGTGGAACTTAAATATTTAATTTCTCCCCCATTGTCCTATGCCTTCCTGTTGCTTTCCCAAGACCTCCAAATCTCTCTGCATGGGGTTGGAGGCTGAGATCTGGCAGACTCAAATTTGCAGCCTCAGCCCCTATTAACTCTCAGTTATGAACTCCACCCTAGAGCTCTTGTCATTCCTCAACTTTGATGTTCTTTCTGCTCCAGTATCTTTCTTGGCCGTATAGTTCCTTCATCCTGGAAAGCATTTTCCCTCTCTCAACCATGGGAAATCTTTATCTCCAGCTCAAACACCCAGTTCTTTTGTGACACAACCTTTCTCTCCTCTGGCTAACTGGCCCTTTGGCTGATTTTTCTATTATGCCCCCGGCCTGGAACTTCCCGAGCTTGCCCTGTGACTTTGTCTCACTTGTCCCCCTGACGAAAACTTCATTTCTTGTGGCCAGGAGCTTCTTTCTCTTATTCTTTTCCACATATGACTTAGTACTCAAAACTCCATCTTTCCCAGAGTTATTCCTTAATTATCCGTTGAACTACACTTAGTCCAATAGCACTTAGCTGCTCTCAGACCTGTAGTGCCATTAGTTGAAGTTTTCTGAATCCACCAAATAAGGCTAAGTTGCTTCAGGCATGCTGACAATGACTAGCAGTTATGTTTTTGGCATTTAAAACCACTTTTCCCCTGTTGTTAAAAAAGTAATACAAATTCATTTTGGAATACTTGTGACATAAAGACATACACAAAGGGAAGAATATCATCATTATGCCACCTTCAAGGGCAGCTGCTGCTCTTTTTAAAATACATTTTCTCAGAAATGCTCAACAGAGACAGCATGGGAAGGTACACAAGGACATAAGGGTGAACACAACTGGGTTTGTACCCCAAGCCCTGTGCTTATGATTGTGTGACTCTCATTAGTCACTGCATCAGCGAAGGCCCACCCTGTCCTCTGAAAAGTAGGAATAATGCTTGTTTATATTCCTATGGCATTTTTGGAAGATCCAATTACAAAACATTTGATAGTATTTTGTAAACTAGAAAATAGTACATGCCTGTTTATTAGCATGTTTGTACCAAGGAGGAGTCTATGGACTCATGGAGCAATCGGACTGAATCCTAAATAATGGCTCATATTGGATTTGTATCTGGCTCTATTACTAATGTTACAGATGACCTTCACTTCACTAAAGACAAAGGAATGAACTTTTACTGCACACCACTGCATGTAAGGTTCTGTGCTGTTTGCCTTATTCTGGTTTTCCGTGGCACCATGGAATACTCTTTACATATGAGAAAAAGTGAATTTCAGTCAGCAAAGCCAGTGGTATTGCAAGATTAAAGCTAAGGTGGATCTGATTTCAAATCCCATATTCTTTTTATTTTTGCTGTAGTAAGAAAACTTTGGGGGAAAGTATTTTTATGGAATTATTATCATGCAAATTTCCAGTGATTAAAGGGCAGGATTTGATTGGATACATGTATTATTCTGATACAGGTTCTCTTAGAAAAGTCAAAGAGGCTGCAATTGTTTCATCTAGTTGTGATCTAGTTGTGATTATATATGACTGTTTCTAAAGAGTAGACTAATGTAAAAGCTCTTTTCAAGCCTATGAAAGGGAACAAATGATGGATATTGACTAAGTAACTTTTTCTTGTTATTTGTGTATCAAAATATAATTTAGAAGTTTTCATGGCATGGCATCTTTAGACTTAGACTGTTGAGAGAAACTGGAACTTCTGTCTTGACAGAATGTTGGTTTTGAACAAGGTAGTTTCTTGTTTTAGAATTTAACAATAATCTTAGAGGTGGAAAACTGGACTTGACCAGGGATGAATTTTCAAGTAAACGTGAAGGAAAAAACCATCGTTATAAATTCTGAAGCTGTGACTAAAATAAAATGATATCCCAGAATAGAGGATCTGAAATGATATTACAGTACAGAGACACATGAGGGTGCTCTAACCAGCTGCTATCATAAATGAATTCAGCTGTTCAAATACTAGGGGAAAATGAAGGCCTGTTGTGTATGGCAATGTTGAATTCACTTTGTAGTGTTGGCTAAACATAACCTTGGAATAGATGTTTTCTCTTTTAAATAAAATGTATTGGTTCCTCGACCCACATTTTAAAAGGTAGAAGATGTTCGTATTGGACAATCTGGGAAACACTGAAAAGCTCACAAAAGGAACCGATGTTGCTATCTGGTCTGAGAGGCTGGAATTTTCTAGAACCAGGCCAGTTGGAGGCTTAGCTCAGGAAGCCTGCCTTCAAACACAAGCCCAGCCTGTTCTCATTTTGATTCCACAGACCTTCTGCTGGTAGGAAGGGGGAGTAGAGACTGGGGGTCTAATGACCGCAAGAAGAGAATTAGAGACGCATGTTTATCTCAATACATTTACTCTCATTAAAGTTCATATTCACTGACATCATGCATCTCCTTGAAAAAGTCTGCCCACCCACCATTAATTAAAGCCACATTTTAAAAAGTCAGTGTGTGCACTTTTATTCCAATCAAAAGTAGCCTCCTAAGTTTTGCAGAGTAGGCAGGAGAATATCTGAGGCCTGACAGCTGTTCACCTCTACACAGTGAAGAATCATGTGATTTATATTAAAAGTCATGTTGAATCAGGGCTTACAATTTAATAGCTAAGATCTATCGTCTTGAGGAGGTGAAACATTCAAAACCTAATGGCCTATTAAGAAAAATTAACATTTATTTTGATAAGTCAACATTCTTTTGGTTACAGGGTATGACCATATGCCTTTACCTTCGCAAAAGGTTCGAGAGATCTAAGTATACACCCTGCTTGAACAATTAGCAGCACAGTCCTATCAAAGACACCACACTTTATAACTTATACATGTGGTATCAATGTCAAAACAGAGGTCAATGTAAAATTTTTTTAATCTAGACCACTGCACAAACAGTAATTACTAATAGTTGTAGGATTGCACAACCATAGTCTATATTCTTGGCAGTAGTCACTATAAGTTCATACATTCATGAAAATAAGGAATGTTGATATTTAAAGTTCAAGAAAGGTACTATTTGTAAACAGCTCAGGTCACACTCATTTCATTCCATGTGTTAAGCAAGACTTTCCTTCCAACTTCCTTTAAATGAGATTTGTTCTTTCCATGAGCCTAATAAAAGGGTTTTCATCCAAACAGATCTGCATTCTTTTCAATTCTTTTTTCTATTAAAGCCCTCCTGGGGACCTTTCAATTTTATGCTGATCTTTCTTTATATATTAACGTCAAGCACATTTTTATTTTGTGTTGATAAAAGACAAATTATGGTTATCTCTTCTCATTGGCAATTCAATTATTCTAGAATGGTTCTGACCAAATATTTGATTAACGTAGCCAGTTTGTGTTTCTTACACGAAGAAAGAGATAATGTGCATCATTCAGATTCTCTAGTTATTCTGGTCATGTCACATGCAGAAAGAAACAAAGAAACGGTACATCAATAGATCTGAACACTGGCTCCGAAATGGTTTAATCCTGGGCCAAAGTACCCCTGGGCTAGAAGCTGAAACCTGAGTTCTAATAGACTTTTCTACAGACTCTCCATATGACCTTGAGCGCCCAAGGGCCTCTTCATTCATCTGACAAATAGGGGTTAGGAGGTGAATAATGACTGGATACCCATAGTCCAGGAAGTTAGTCAGCACTAGAGGATAAGGAGTCAGAGCATCCCTTTGGGATATGCCTTTCCCTGTTCTGCTTACTCATCCAGGCCCAGAAATGACAAGGTGGGGCTTTTATGAATGAGAGTTGGGTCTGTTTCTAAAAAGAACATCCCTGAATCTAGAAGTCAACAAGCCATGCCTGGTGAGTTGCTTTCATGATGAGTTTGAGAGAAGATGCTCTGGGTCTTGATTCCCTCAGACACAAGCATTCAGTGCCCCATTGGTATGTGGGATGAAGCACTATCCTCACCCATAGATTATATCTTCTGTCTAGATGATAGAGTATCCAGAGGGGCCATAAGACACTGGACTCTACACAATGCGAAATGCAATGGGTGGACTCCAGCTCAGCTGTGGGAAGGAAGGTGGAGTGCGGGTGGAGACATTTCAACCCGTCCATGGTATTCTTTAGAATATACAGCTGGGTGGTGGGGCGTGGGGTGGGGGGCAGTGGGAAGTTGGGACTGTACGGCATTTTACCAACTCTAGGAAAGCTTAAGATAAGCTCAGCTTAAGTGATTTATAAGGCCATGCAGTCTATAAAATGAGCACCATTGCTGTCCATACCTTCCTGCCGGCTCTGTTGTTGTGAAGGTTCATCAGGGCTCTGGCATCCTTTCCTTTCCTTTCCTTGGCATCCACAAATGCTCGGGCAAATTTGATCCCATAGTCAATGTTATCACTGCAGCCACCCCAGTCGAAATTTCCCTTGCTGTCCTTGGCCGTTCCCTTCTTCTTTGGATCACAGGAACAGGATTTTAATTCTCCTTGGCTACAGGCCCTGGTGATGGCAAACACAACTCCCGCTGAGGAGACGGCGTAAACAAAGGCAGATTCCCGACTACCTGAAACAGAAATGCTTTTCTTAAACATGGCCTGGAATTGCTAGTTCTGAATAACTTTCACACTATGGCTGTTTACCACTCACTCTACCTCTGGCATAGTCCACCCCCAGGCAAGAAGGTACTGGTGTTCTTGAAGGATTCTCTTCTAGAGCCAGGGCTCACTTTTGAATATGAATTGCTTCCGTATAATAAAAGCTTTTGTCAGTGTAGGTATGGGTGTGACAAACACCTTGGAGTAAATTAAGCGTATGAAAGGAAATGCAGCAAAAGCCTGCCCTGCCCACCCCTGGCTTTACCTTAGCTTCCTGTGCTAGAAGAGAGGAGCTATCTCTAGGCTTTCATTTAACTTGTAATAATAGAGCCTGAGTTCTCCGATTTCTGTCATTCCACAAAACAGTTTGGTATTCACGCTACTGTAGCTCTCCTTGAAAAAACCCTTCCAAATTTGCAGGCCTTAGTGAGGACACTCCTGTCAGATGAAGGGTCCAGACTGAAATACTGAATTCAAAGAAACCTAGGGGCTGAGGTGGGAAGAGAATTCAGGCAGTAACCAGCTCTGTGTGTTAACACTGGGAAGCTTTGGCTCGGCATCAACTTTCACGAGTAATTGAGAGATTGTTGAAGGCAATATGCAATATCCTTGAGTTACATACTATGTCTAACTATTAAGGTGAATTTACTTTCTTCTGGAACACCTGCACTAATCACCGGTATTGGGTAAAAGACAGTGAAAAGCTTTTCTTTGGTTTTTCTGGAAGGAAACAAATTTACCGCCTATAATTAGACTTGGGCAAGAACCCTTTGGGGTGCTTTCTTAGAATTGTTCTTTATTAGAGCACAGGCTACTCTCCCTTACAGGCTGAAAGGTACATATTTCAGTGCAGTAACTACATTAAATTATTTTAATAATCTGTAGTAACTCATAACACGGTGTTGTGGTATAGTGACAGATATAAGGCTCTTTAGGGTCCGTGTGCACCTCATTTTTCAACTGGGGCTGTATTTCATTGTTATTAGCATGCCTCTTTATTAATGGGTGCTGCAGCAAATATATTAACAAGCAAAATAGCAGCTCAACAACCTAATGCCAACACAAGGCAGAAAACGGAGAGCCAGTCAGTGACTCCGTGTGTCAAGACGAGTGTGACTTTTTGAACCACACAGCTGGGAGAACAAACCACCTTTTCGCATTGAAGTCCTGCTTGTTTCCGTTTGTCATTCGGTGCTAAAATTTATTATATGTCCCTTGCAATATTTGTTCTGCTAGTCTCATTATTAAAAATCAGGAAAACATATCTACACCATATTAAGTGGCACTTACCTCAGCCTTCAAAAAATATCTCCCCTGAAACCTCTAACCATCAAAAAAGGAATCAATCATGCTCCATATATAGGTAAAATCAATTATATGAATATTTGCCATAGGTAGCACTCTCCAGAGAGAGATGTGATGGTCGCAGAGCTCTTTTAAAGAGTCCCAGGTTCTATTATAAGGATCACAGATTTTCTAAGTGAACTGAGACGTTTTGCAAAAGAAGGTGATTAATAGATACTAATGTGGCTTAATCTCAGGCAGTGGCTTTCAGGTAAATAAACACTTTATTACACTGTTTTATAGTTTAGGAAAATGCCTTGTTGAGGGTTACCCCCTTGGTCTGCTAAAGCCTGGTTTTATATTTGGAGTCCAAAGCCTACATTCAGAGATATCACAGAGAGGGAAAATTCCAAATGCTTAATGTGTTTAGTACTAGTCTTATTTTTTAAGGAGAAAGAAAAGCAATTTTGTATGGTGGTCTTTTAGGGGAAAGGTATGGAAGATATGGATGTAGAGTGTTAGTGACCAGAGAGTATTTTGAAAGCAGTAAAGGAATAAATTGCCTACGTGCAGAATTCATCCTGGCATAACTTGCAAACAATTACATTGACTTGTTGCCGAAAGATGAAAAATCACTTAAAATCTGCTGTGTTTCAGAAGTAATTTCCAAAGTAAAAATATCACCTTTCTAAATATTTGTCATTTATGACTCAAACACATTACTCAGTAACTAGATGTTACTCTGTATATTTACACACAAAATTTAGCACATTGACTGACTTTTCATTTTACCTCCAGATGTTTTGGTATCATGTATATATACGGCCTTAAGATGTTTTCAGTTAAATGTCTTAGATGCATCACTGAAATGCTATGTGTGAAATAGTAGCACATTTCAAGAGTTGGCTTTGTAACAAAACACATTTTGATCTTGGGCCTCTTCTTAGAAAAACGGATTCTTTTTAAAGCCATCACAATATGAAATAAAATCCAAATCTAAATGGTGGTACTTAATTTCCTGATGTGGTTGAAGTTTCTCTAATTTTGAGGTGAGATAAGTTAAGAAATGGCTATCAAGTGCATAGGCATCATTTTTGTTTGGGGCAGAATTTGGGGAGGGCAAAATGCTAGAAACTACACCGTCTGGAAGGTTAAGGGTCATTTAGTTCGTTCGTCAAACGCTTGCCTGGTTTTTTTTTTGGAAATTTACAAGGATGAGACCTACTCACCTTTTTTTTTTTTTTTTTTTTTTTTTTTTTTTTAAGGCTTATTCTAGAATTCTAGAGGCGTATTCTTACAGGAATATTTTTAGGTTTACCAGTTTGGTCTTTAAGTTTCTCTGCCTATGGCTGGTGACAGTCTGTGGAATGAGTGAATTACAAGTGTTCCTAAAAATTCTTCTGTCATCTTCTAGCTCTCTGAAGCAAAAGAGGCAAACACATATTTTCCTTTTTTCCATGACCATGGTATATGTTAGTGACTTTTATGTTCTTCCTATCACTGGTGTTGGCCTTTGCCTTTCCTATCCATCTATAAGGAAATTTAGGTTTCCAAAAGAGAGTTCTTCACAACCTAAGATGTGAATTTCCCTCCAAGCAATTAATTGTAAAAATCTTTGGATAGCTTCATTGGAATTTCTTGATTATTTCCAGGATAAACTACTTTAGGCCAAATTCAGCCCTCCCATAACCAACACAAAATCATCACTGACAGTCATAGGAGTTTATATAAATGTCCAGGAAGAAATCTGGCCTTCTGTGAAGAATGGAAAGAAATTGTGTAGCATGAGTGTTTTAAGTTTTGAGTACTTTGGCAAAACACTCAGCTTCATCTGAAAGAACCCTGAAGGAAGTACAGCTTAGATTCTCTTATTTACCTGAGGCCTTAGGCTAAGTTGAACTAGCCCCCTTCCTCCAGTTCTAACCTCTCCCCTCTCAGCAACCCTACAGCCAGGATTAAAGGATTTTACAAATGAATTCCCAGCTTTCCTAGACATGCTATCTTTAGGATCAGTAGGCAAAACTGCTTCTTTTGATTTGTGATCTAAAGGTTTTTATTCAGTATGGAGACATCTGAATGGATTTTCGCAGACAGATTTTGGAGGCGAACATTTTGTCAATGAGAAGTACATTTAATTTGTAGTGATTGAAAAATGATTGTGAGCACTTTGGAAAGGAAAGTCCTGATATAGCGTAAACACCGAGAGCCTGTACACAACGTGCCCAAAGATCACGTGTGCTAGGTACTTGTAAACTCTCTTTGACAAGGTCCAGCACTTTAATTGATTCACTGGTGAGCTAATCTAGGTGAAGTCTTAAAATTCCATGCAGCTGAAATTGACTATTAACCTTTCAAAAATTTGCGATCTCATATTGAAACTCCAAAAGGAATGCAGAAGAATATAGTTTTTAAACTAGAGGATAAAATTGCAGAATATCACAGTAAATTAACTTTAGGGATACACTGAGTGAGAGTACTACGCCCTTGGGGGATTTTAGAGACATTCAGTTATGCATTTGGCCTCATAAAACCCTAGGGCTGTGATGATTACATGATAGAAACACCCTCTGTTAAGCATTACCAAGTGTACAGCCTGGATGATTTTCTTAGG